AAAAAAAAAAACGAATTAAGTAAAACAGCCACTAGGCGAAAGGAACTAATAACTTAGAGATATGGGTTTATCAGCAGAATTGTTCTAGCCCGAACAGCTTCGAGCTCATGAAGAAAAGGAATGTGAAATGCGCCAGTTAATTGACGAATTGATGAGCCAAGCCCCCCCGCTTAATGCTAAACGTGGTCCCGTTTACAACTATTTTTACAAGGAGCGGTACTTATTCCAGGAGGTATGTTTCCTATGGCAATGTTGACTGGACTTAAACACTTTAATTTTTAAAATTTATTCGCATGGGACATACAAAGTTTATATTTTAAGATGAAATATCTTTTTACAGAGGGAACGTTACGAGCTCTATACGAATGTGTTAAGAAGGCATTTAAACGTTTTATCCCCTTCTAACTCAATGGCTATACGAATAGAGTCTTCTAATGGACCGTCATGTAGTCGCGTAGAAATCCCTCGATCAGCTTCTACCGTCCATTCCAGGCCCCCTCCTTATTGTACAGAAGTTGTTTTAGAAGAGCCTGAGGCTGAAGCGCGAGCAGAAGCAGCAGACAAGAAGGCTACAGATTTGAAAGGAAGTGACGATAGGATCAGCTACAAGGAAGCTATTGGCACCACCACTAGTCCAGAAGTAAAACTCGTGGATGACTGATCACGCAAATTAGTTTAAGGTTAAGTACCTTAAAGGGATCTTTGCTGAGACTTCTACCTTTATTAATAAGATCCATATTGGAGGATTATATGGATCCTGCGACCTTTAAGTCACTGAGAGATAGTTTTTATGAACTGAGTCATATCTTTAGGTTTATTGTAATTTCCAGCCTGGTGTTCTCTAAAGTATTTAATTCCATCTGATCGAATGTTGGGAAGTAATAAATAGACAATCTTAAGTCGATCAGTTTGTTCTTTTATTTTATTTTTTTGTGTCATAATATACAGGCCTCTGCAAAACCTGTGGTTCTTTTACAAATTTTTGGCTTTTTCTGTCAGGGGTTGTTTCGATTTAGGGGCCTTTTGGTTTATCTCTTCTTTTAGAACTGGTTTAGAATTTTCGGTATTTTGGCCATTGCCAGGAATTCGAAATAGATTTTGGTTAGAAAAGAAATGATGGATTTTTGTGAACTTTGTAGAATTACAAAATTTTCAGGGTAGAGGAGGCCTGCCAAACCCAATTTTTTGCTTAATAGAGAGTCATTATTTATGTACATGTATGCTGAAGTTCTCCTGCCTAAAGAAATATGCCTTTATTAAGGACATTTGTTCTTTGATGACTCTGATATTGTACTGAAAGTGTGTTATAATTTGAATACGGGTTAAAACATTTTTTAAACCGGCTCAATAAAAAGTTATGTGTAAATTTTTTGTGTATCAGTTCTGGGTTAACCCCAAACTTCAAACAACTAGCAGTTACTACGCAGCTCAGGAGCACTGACTGTCCCGCAAGCGGTTTGCTGGTGTCGAAACCAGCTCTCGCTCACCTTTCAGGAACTCTAGTGGTATTAATGGTGAAGTGTCTACAGACAAAGATATGCTCGTTATAAAAGAGCAGTTGTGTGATTTATCTAGTCAGAAGATGATTAACTAAGGTCAGATTACAAGAAATATCACTCATTAAGAAGTGTAGTGATCCAGGCGGAAGGTATTAATAAAGTTGACTTTCCGGCAGTGAAGGTATTTTGGTAAGAAAAAAATTGACAAATATGGAAAATGATAAGTCCAGAAGTATTGAATGCACAGTTACAGAACTTAGAACTGGAAACCGTGTTTGTTCACTCACTGGCGAAGATTGCTGGTTTCCAAAGGCCTGTCTTGAGGTGAATCAGCAAAGTTAGGGTAAGGTTCTCAAAATCTCTGCAATCTGTTTCTTAGTGTCATGCGGGTCAGTCACGCTATGACCGATAGTACGTGGAGATATGAAAATCTCGTGGTCATTTCCTCCCTGAAAGCATTCGGAAACATTAAACAACGGCTTGCCTCAAAATGAACGACTAGGCATCTCAAGCAGTGTTTGTGAAAAAGATCTGTTATACAGGGCACCATGTGATGACAGTATATGATTCAATGAAGAGACCTACTCACCACGTCCGTCTTATCTCCGAAAAAATGTATAGTGTCAAATTCGGATAAATACTGCAAACAAAAAGTCTTGTCCCAACCATTGGGAAAGCAGTCAATACTAATCTGGCCACCTGAAAACGAGTGAGTTCAGTGGGTAGTATGAAACATATAACCCAGTTCCAAATTACTGTAGGAGTCTGCTATCTAAAGGATATTTGATACTTAAAAAGCATGAACTACGTAAGTTTACGCCACAAGACTTGTAAACAATTTCACACTATCCAATTTTAAAAGAACGTTTGGCAAGGCAAAAGATAAAAATATTGGATGCAAACTATTGTTGAATTCAACGTAGCACCATTAATTAAACTAATATATTGATGGAAATACCAAACTAACCAATGCAAATGTTAAGATTCCATCCCTTGGTAAAATTTTTAAGTTTCTCAACTACGCTGGCACGCACATTATGCTCCTTATCATATTCTGCGAATGCCAACCTTTCATCGATCGAACAATTACGTCCGATGGGACAGAAATTCAGCATGCCCTCAAAAAAACTGAAGTACAGTTACTCAGGATGACAAAGGTCTGCATGGGGATAATTTTACATACCCTAATTAGGGATTAGTTTCAATAACAATAGGAAAGAGTAGAAACAGTTGCTTCAGCCTACTCTGAAGATCAATATCAGAAAATTAACCATAATAATGATCATATATTAATGTTTGCTTTTGATTTAGTATAATTTGTTCATTTGAGTAGTGAAAAACTGCCCTACATTGCGAAATTCGATGAAAGTTCCACGTTTTACGGGAAGCACGATTTCCGAGAACAGCCGTAAGACAAAGTTGATCAGTTCCTGAAGACGCTCTTCACCCAAAAAGTCTTTTATTGACTGAAAAAAAAAGAAAACAAGAAGTTGAATAACATATTCGAAGCATTTACTGCGGTCCAAGGTAACAATTTTAGCCCAGAAGTCTGGCGGAGAAAAAGCCTGGTCCAGTCTAATTTCTCCCCGTAAAATTATCGAGGAACAGGGCTTACCTGGACAGGATAGGCTTTGCCTTCCCGATAACCAACACAACCATTTTCACAAAAGACGAAGTCAAACCGTTGAAGTACTAAACAAAGATAAGTATACTGCAAAAACCTAAGCTACTAAAAGAAACCAAATGAGTCAACTTAATAAATACAAATACCGTCTTGGAGATCAATTCCTAGTTGTTCCACTACCTTTGAAGCGTCAGATCCACCAACAACAGCCAGGGGTACCTTCTTACGTACTTCTACCAAGTAATCTCGGAACTCGGCATCAATTTTCTACATATCCATAGAAAAAAATCGATTGAAACCGATAAGTACACAATATTGTCAACGAGTTAGAACTATAAATAACAATTTAGATTTCAATAATAACTTGTAGGCCCAGCTCATATGCCTATACAAGCGCTTCGTGCTAATGCATTTTTTGTGGTGCCACCTTACGAAGTGCTATTTCAGTCCATGTCTCTACTTCAATTGTCTAGCAAATCGTACTACCGAAGGAGAGAAATACTTCAGTAGACTGTGAAAACTTTATGTACAGAATAGTTTTAAATTATTTAACTATCTCGACAGTGTTCAGTGCACTAGCAGTGAAATTGAAGTCGTTTTCAAAAAAATTTAAGTGCTTCCCTATTCTTTTAACTAGTCTGATTTTTAAAAATAGCTTCTTCACTAGCACAGTCCAGCGGAACCGCGTTTCTGGAAGTGATGTAGCACAAAAAATGCACGCCCGTTTGGAACTTCAGATTTCAGATTTTTTTTTCAACAAAAGACAACATTCTCTTTTCCGCCTTAATAATGCGTTTAGGGTAACAATACGCAGTACCTACACAGGACTTCCATAAAATCCTTCTTGACAGTTTTTACGACTATCGATCATTCCAGCTTTGAAAGTTTTTGGCTGCAACCATTCAAAACACTCCAGTCAACACTGCTGAGTGAAGGAAAAAGTAAGATCAGGATGTGAACTTCATGAAAAGAATAATTGGAAGCCTTTTTGCTGAATATTTTCAGATAAATTTGCCCTGTGATTTTCCTGTCATTCTTAACGATATCATATAATACGTTCCAAATAAGGAGCAAAATTTTTGTGGTTAAAAGTACTTTTTTCACAATGACTACAAGTAAACCGTAAAGAAGCAGTAAAATTATCCATAAAAAGCTTATATATGTGTGGAGAGGCCCGAAATTCTCATCTTTTCAGAATTGCAAATACAAAACCCATACATTTCCAATCACAGGGTTCAACAGCGGAAATGCTGTCTTGAGGAACTGTAGAAAAAAGAAGAAAGTTGACAAAGACTAGAGTTAAAAATCAAGGAAGGAGCATACAAAATCCCTTGAATGAACCTCCCAAAAGCGATGAAGAAAAATGCGAACAACAACTTCTTACGGCGGACACCATAAACTGCATCAGCACCTAGGCAACCTGTACAATTTACATGATGGAAAATCCGAGAAAATAAACAATAATTTTTGTTGCAGTTTACATTCAAAAGTAGTTGCGTCACTTGGGCTATGCAGAAGTTACAAAATGAAATAAAACCCTAACTCTTCTAGACAACGTCAAAGTGCCATCAACATCAAATAAAAGAATCGTCTTCTTTTTCTGGTGATCGCCCATCTCCATGTTTCAGCTGAAATTGTTAAATTTTAAAAACTTTTAACGTAAGATTGCCATATTTGCAGTAGTAAGCGGTCATATAACATGTTCAGTACGTTCCTTTACCGTAATAAAACACGCCAAAAAAAAAGAATGAATCAGAACGGAATCAACCTCTTTTAAGTACCATCGTTCAATCAAAGCATACAAGTATAGTTTCCCAAGTCACAGATTTGATTCAAAATGCCGTGGAACTGTGCTGTCTCTGGCTCAGCACCAAAGGCGCCAATTCAAAGAAGGATTTTAAAATGACCGGGCTTGGACGTTTGGACACTGGACCATTAGTTTAAAGTATCATGGAGAAGGGCCTCAAACTTGGTCTTATTTGACATCTCATTTGCATATTACTCCCGTAAGTAATTCTTTAATCGTTCACTGTATTAAGAGCTGTGCTCTGCGTTCGTCCAATGGTTTTGTTCTGGTTTTTGAATCAGAGTGCACTAAACCTCACAGAAGACACACTCGCTTTTTAGTTGATATTGCTTT